GGGGGGGGAGGGGGGTTGATAGTGATCACAAAAAGAAAAACAATAGCTCTTACTACAAGCATCATTTAACCATTGCAGTGGAGGTAAACAAAGTTTTTGATTATTAATTTGAAAAACCTAAAAAGGTGTAGTTGTAGAAACCTAGCTTGCAGAAAGACAAACTTAACGAAAAGAAGAGTATCCAGGACACGGTGAATTGATGAACCTTCATAAAGTATGTCTCCACATATTTGCGATCATCAAATATGTTCTTGTACACATTTCGAGCACCAAACAAGAACGCATCAGAGTCATCAGTGACCACACCATCAACAAGATTTGTAAGTTCCATGTAAGCACACTGAGCTTCAGCTTCCATTGGAGCTATTATATATGGCAAGCCAAACATTTGAAGCAACTCCTGACATAGAGAAAGATGCAAATGAGATGAATAGAACTAACAGTAATACTGTATCACCATGAAACATCATGAAACATCAGAGAAAAGGAATCAAGGACATGCACCCAAGGGTGTGACCCAGTGGTTAATGAAGTGGTTTGAGAACCATGAAGTCTCATGTTCAAATCCCAGTGGAGACAAAAAACACTAAGTGAATTCTTCTCATCTGTCCACGCCTTGGTGGATAGAGCTACCTGGTACCTGTTGTTGGTGGGAGGTAACAGGTATCTCGTGGAATTAGTCGAAGTGCGCGCAACCTAGCTCGGACACCACGGTTATTTAAAAATAAAGACATAAAGAACGAAGATGACTTCGGATTAGTAAGTGGAATAGGAAATAGAAGGGGCAAAAGGGTTAAAAGAGTTTGTACAAAGATACATCTATCACATAAGCCTAAGCCCCTAAGCATGCAGGTTTCTAATTTTGTAAAGTTCACAAGGTCACTAAGAAAAAAACAATCACGCATATTGGGATGTCAAGTTAATAAACTAACCAGGATACACCAATTGATTATGTGATTTAAATAAGATGAGATACTCCAATACAAAGCATGATCTTAGTCTAGAAAAATTACAGCTAAAAGCATAGGCGGACCCAGGATTTCAAGGCGTCGGGGGCACCACTAATGCCAATACTAGCTACCGAGATTTTAGCATTGAACTCATTGTATTTTTAAAATTATGGTTTCAAATTTAATATTTGTTCAAATGTTAGTGAGTTTCAAATATATATTACTGCTATGCTAAAAGTAATGGGTTCGTTATTGCCGAAGCGCTAGATCCGGTCATGTTCGTGTCAATCATTTGCTACGAAAGATTAGTGGAGTGTGATTGGAATCAAAGTAACCAACTTTAAATTAAACTTTTGTCGAGCGTTTCTCCTCGTTGTGCCGGCTAGTCTAATAGTGTTTTGTCTAGGACTGCTAGCGGTTTTTGTTGTGTTTCACACTTTTTTTTTGGCCTTTCCATTTATTTGCCGTCTTTTACGATGCTGATACTATTTTTCTGGTTACTGTTGTTGTTACGGATCTATTGTCTTTGAGCCGAGGGTTTCCCGGAAACAGCCTCTCTATCCCTCCGGAGTAAGGGTAAGGTCTGCGTACACTCTACCCTCCTAAGACCCCACTAGTGGAATTCTACTGGGTTGTTGTTATTGTTGTTGCTATGAACCAGTATATGGAAGTGCCAATTCAATTTCTTGAGAGTTTTGCAGTAGAAGAAAAAGTATCTTAGGGGCTAGGGTAACTGGGCAAAGGTTTATGTTTTTAATTGTGAGGAATTGGGTTTTGAGATTTTGAGGGATGGACTTTAAACGAGAAATGGGAAATGAATGTAAGAAGTACTCACAAAATAAAAAAGTCGCTACAGTTATTACACATGGAAAAATGGGAAATGAATGTAAGAAGTCAAATAAGCAAATTGCTGCAGTAAAGATTCAAACCTGGGTCACGAAGAACACATGGAATTTTTAGGCAACCCACTCAACCAGTGCCCCCAGCAATTATTTGTTGATGAGGGTGCATGTAAATTATACTATAAGAGTTTTTAAGGAATAAACACCCACACAAAGAATTTTTCCCAAAGTTATAGGGTGTCAATAGCGTCGAGACAGAACATGCTGTACGGCATGGCAATAACAAAATTAAACTGGGGTCACTGAGAATCAACTTGTAATCACACGCACACCAGCAAATTGAGAGAAACCAGATAAAACGCCAAGAAACACCTCAACAAGGATCCCTACTCCCTAGTGCGCGAACAACTTCCAACTACTAAAATTTGATATTTGGAAATAAATTAGGCCTAAAGTTGCATCAGAAAAAATAAATATCATCTAAAACCTACCTGGCACTCTGCAAACATTTCAGAGCTTACAGACTCTGCATTACGCTCAAGCTTTCTCTGCTCATCTCCTAGTTTTTCACGCTCTTTATCCAACACATGCATCTCCTCCTCCAAACTAGTCATCATAACCTTTTGATCTTCTTTGCTACCTGCAGAATCCAAATTGCCAAAGAGATCCTTCCCTTCCAATAATGGGTCATCACAAGTACCTTCATCATCTAGTTTTTGTGCACTATTTGTATCACTTATGAAACCCTCCGTGAAAGCTTTGGCGAGTTCTGTGGACTCATGTGTATAATGATGTGAGGCAGCTCCAGATTCATATTGTTGAGCATCAGAGGTTCTTGCATTGGGCAATTCGTTAAATCTTGCTTGTTCTATAGAAGTAACATCTGGCGCACTTTTTGTGTTACTCGAAACTTCAACAGTGGTATCAGCTATCTTCTTCCTAATCATGCTAACCTCTGACCCATCAAGAGGAGCAGTCGGTCCCATACGTATATCACAATGCAAATTTCTGTCAGCTTGATCGGTTGCTTCTTCAATCTGCATATTTCTATAACCAGAATTAGCTTGAAATTGTTCCCCTAACTGGTTTCCCAAACAGTTATTACCCTCCGCAATATCCGTCTCATGTACAGTATCATGCAAGTGCGCAGTCTGAATTTCAGATGGTAATTCTTTCTGTTGAAGAATTTCATACGACTTTGGACAATTGTTATCTTGACCATCAGATCCAATAATTATACCCTGAGTAACCATTTGAACAGCTTCTTCAGACATCTCATTCTCATGAGATTTATCTATGCACCTATGATCTCTCAAATCCTCAAGACTCCTCCTTACTGCTTCCTGATAATTCGCTTCTTCTTCCAAAGCACCTTTAGAAGCAATTCTTGAATCAAATGGAAATAAGGAAGGCTCCTTGCAAATATCTACACATTCTTCTTCCCATTCTACTTCAACCTCATCATCTATGCCATCTTTCTCCAGTGTAGCCTGGCTTTCCCCTTGAGAGTTATTGCTTAGCAAGTCATATTTCTCTTCAATCACTCCTTCCTCCCACTCAACATCCGAAGCAGAATCCAGAGACTGCTTTTTTGAGAGGGAATGATCAATAGAAAATTCCATCGCTGGATCACCTGCCACTAAATGTGCAAATATATCATCATCATCATTGGCACAATCATGTGCAAAATTATCTTCAAAAGATATCTGAATTGAAGTCCCGCTTTTCAACTCAGACTCTTCACTTTTGTTGTTTGAACAAACCTTCCCATCATTATCTGGATTGGATGAGTTCAGCTGCGGAATTGTATCAGATACATTTCCAGGGGAATGTACAGCAGTGTCACTGACAGTAGGCACATCACTAAAATCTTTGTCCTCAATCTCTTTAATCATATCTAAATTTCTCTGTAAATCTCGAGTCATGCGAACACCCATGGCTCTCAGTCTGCTGACTCGAAGATGACCCCTCTCATCCAGATACGTCTCCACGTCATCATTAAATGCACTTCCAGGTTCAGTCACGATTGATTCTAGCACACTAGATTTCCTTGTTGCAGCATCACTTGCAGTCGCAGAATTTGGCAAACTATTTTCTGTTTGTACTTCACTTGGCTTCTTTCTGGTGTGATCTTCCCCAGCAGACGCAAGGACACTAATAAATACCAACATGCAATTTTTTTTAGTAGGAGATGATGATTTAAGCAAGAGAGGAAAAAGAATCACAAGAAAAAACCAAATGACTGTTACTTACTCTTTGTCCCCAGTAAACGATGAGGAGAAAATAAATTCCCTATTTGCTTCAGAAGCAATCCTTTTAGTCCGCACACCACCTATTCCCCTTCCAGCAGCAGATTTCTGCACTTCATCTATCTCGCGTCGGAAAGCAACAGTTTTCAGATAAGCTTGTATTTGCAGTTCTGAGAACTTTTCAGGAACCTGAGAGATGCATCTACAGAATTAGACTGAAAAAAATAGAAAATGTACGCGCAGGGACACGTATTGAATTCTTAACCTTGCAAACACAAGTAACATAATTGAATAATATAACACAGGGAAAGTTATAAGCAGTTCTAAAAACGACTCAAGAAAATGTTTGAAGATGTACTAACTAAACCATCAACCTGGCAAATACACTTTTTAATGATAGATACATCATTTAAAAGACATCACCATGAAGATCCGTCTAATCTAACTCACAAAGAAGGACCAGCATTGAAGATTAAGATATTGTGTTGCAAACATGAAAGCAGTGCACAAACTATAAATAACGTACTTTAAGCTACAAAAGAGATATACATATTTAAGAAGACACAGAGCTCTGAAAACCCAAAAAGCAATTGCAGAAAGACAAATCATTGTGTTCTGATGTGCAAGCAGGCTTAATGATGTACCTTCTTGACCTTCTGATACTTTTGTCTGTTCTCTGCCATCAATCTCTCCCTCATCTGGCACAAGTTATTGATCAAACAAAGAGAGAAACTTCTACATCCAGAGTTTCTTTGTCTCCTTTTGAGGGAGCATTAACTGGATACTGCTTCCATATGTAAAAGAAACACCTTTACCTGACCAAGAAGATCAAGCTGCATCGATGGAGGTAAAGCAGCTAAAACAGAAGGATCAACTTTTCCTTGCATTGCTGGCTGCACATTGCATAAAGAGTTTGGCGGCATGGTTAGTAAGAGACAAAAATCTATTCATACTCGTCAAGAGATATCACAATTCACAAGCATCACAATTAGATGGAGGTAATTAAGTCCACGGATTGAAATTGTGATAGAAAAAGTCCACATACTTGCATCTAATAGAACAGCAAATAACAATTAGAATTTCCTTCCAAACAATGGAAGGACCAAACTAGACAAAGACTTCTTTACTCATTAATGCACTTCAAGAAAAGCAGATACGTGCATGCAAAAGAAGTTTAATTATTCCTTAAGCCATAAGGAAAAGCATACTCTTAATGCAAATATTATTCAGATTCCCAGCAGCAGAATCATCAACAGATCTGATACATGTTACCTTTATTGCACACAACTAAAAGGTGCACTGGGACCAAGAACGTCACAATCATTTTACTACTCAAATGAATTGGTCACTAGCATCATGCACAATCTGAATTTGACATGTGAAAATGAAAATAAAATCAAAAAGCAGTTGATGCTAACCAGTATCATCTCTTCGTCTTCATCGGTGTTATCATTTTCAGCAGGATTCCCAGCACAAGATGTTGATGCATCATCAGCAAAATTCCAGTCTTCCTCTGCTTGAATAGAAGCTGCCAACCTTAATTAACTTGTCAAACTGAGTGTGAGAATCTTTTATGTCCACATTCAAGTAGAAAACGGCAACATCCTACAAATGTATAACATATCCAAAAAACAAAGAAGATCATACAACTGACTACTATAACTTACATCTCATCCAGTGCTTCCTTATCATAGTTCTCTGCAGCCAAGCCATTTCCTTCGGCCTCGTTCTTCACAGTTCCAGTTGCTTCTGAGCTAACCTTTTTACCCTTTGCATCATTCTGCTTCCTCTGGTTCTCCAGATCCCCAGCCAGCTCTTTCAGCCTCATTGCCTTAAGCTGCAAGTAGAGATGATGAAATAATTCAGCATCATGCGTATTGTCAAATTCTTACCACACTATGACGATGATGATAAGTTGAATGCACTCTAAGTTAGATAAAAGACGTCCAATTTAAAGAAAAAAAGGTAAATCGAGGAAATAGTGGTTTTATCAACAGCCTGGCACGTAAACCAAACACGTTCTCTCATCTGCTTGCATGGTTATCCACGACAGCATTGATGAAAAGCACTAACGTCACCAAGAATAGACAACAAACATATTGTTCAATAACCATCTCATGATCAAACATATAAGAAAGAAGAAATCTTTATTTAGTTAGGTTTGTAACATGCTCCCAATCCCTTGAAAAACAGTGTGCTGGTAACTATAACACCTATACCATAAAGAAGTGTGTGGTGTCTTATCTAAAAACTTAACCAATTTTAAGAATGTTACAGTAATATATAATATATTCTAGGTCCGCAACACATAACTCTAAATAATTGATAGACTAACATGATTAAGGAGCAATTTTTCAGCAGTTTTTCTAATCTTGGCCTGAGCATTTTCCCGCTGGCGGCGACGCGCGATCACCGTTCTACGCTTGAGGGCAGGTGTGCCACCGTCAAATACAAATACTGGCTTGGTCCGAAGGTAGAGTAACTTGCAAATTCGACGGAAAAATCCCAAAATATGAGCATTCCGCACCATCTCCCCCTTTTCATCTCGCATTGCTTTCATAAATTGTATAATCCATATACTCGCATCTGATAAATAAAAAATTTCCACACAGTAATCAGTATAAATATGATCAGTGAGTGTTGTATATATAATTAGGGTTAGGGTTAAAAGAACTGAGGTTACCGATTGCTAGTTTTTTTCCCGCGAGGGTTTCGACGGAGACGCGGCGACCCACGGGGGCCAGGAGATCCCAGAGACCTTGAACACCCATTTCAGTTTGTCCACTAAACTGTCAAAAGATTTTGCGTAGAATTTTGAAGTATTGCCGCCAAGTCGATACAAATTGGTTGTAAAATGGAACGGGAAGTCGGTTGGTCGTTGCAGGGGCAAATTGGGTAGCCTGGTCTTTTTCCAGAATGAATTATAAGCGGGATACATGACACGGTATAGCTGTAAATATAATAACAGAAAAAATATATAAAATTATATTTATNATGGAGCGAACTAAAAGTGATAATATTACTTGTAAGTAACCATGTAATTTCGTTTTACACATACTATGCTCTTACACCAAATTTAATAAGCATTGTGTATTTTGTATATATTTTTATCGTTAAACATGATTAAATAAGTATGTATTATCATCTCAATCTATTACTCCTAGAACTTAGTTTTTTTCCCTTCCTTTTCTATCTATTCTAGTACTTAGTTATAATAAGTTCAAGAGTAAAATTTTGTGTAAACATCACTTAATTATAATGAACTAATACAATTTTGTGCAAATATTATGTGTGTAGTTTTTTCTCATTTATTTTATCAGGCATTTGTTACTATCTATGGACATAAAATTACAATGCCTATAGAATACTTCTTGATTTTTTTTCAAAGATCCTACTAAAAAAGAGGTGTTCCGTTATATTACTTCTCAAGCTATGTAAATAGTATTCTATGTGTTTCAATTTATGTGAACTCATTTGAACACGAAGTTTAAGAAAAAAAGAAGATTTTTGAATTTATAATATAAAATGAGGCATATATAATTTGTATGGTTACAAACCATTGAAATTTTTAAATATAAAAATGGATCATTTTTTTTGACACAAATTTAAAAGTAAATAAATTCACGCAAATTGAAATGAAGGGAATACTTGCTAGTTAGAATAGGAATGTTACTCAAGTATTACCTTAACTTATTAAGTTCATCATAAGTTGAATTAGGGCAGTATTTTCAAGCCCGATAAGGCATCTCTAAAATTTAATGTAACATAAAAATTCAAAAAACAAACTTTGAAGTCTTGAATTTTTGAAAAGACAATTACCAATACCCCGCTCCAAAAATAAATGTAAAAAGAAAAGTGATAAACTAAATAATTTATTCTGTCAGTTAGGAAACGACGGCGATGTTTGATTCTATTTTGCCAAAAGTATGTTTCAACCAAACTCCACAAGAAAGAAGAAAAGCTTTTGAGCTTTTGTAAAAAAATTAGAAAAGAAAATTTGGTAGAGTTTAATTGAAACACAGTGATTGCATGTAGGGCTGTTCAAATCGAACCGTAACTGTTAATCAAATCGAACCGATAACTTATTAGCTTATTGATATCGGGTTAATAGTTGGTGAACTGATTGAGATTTTATAATTAACGGCTTAACAGTTTGGAGGCGGATTACTCAATTATTTTATCGGATAAACCGTTAACCCGTTAAGAATATTTATATTTACACTTTTATATGTGATCAACAAAAGTTACATGAGTATTATTAGAAAATAAATTTGAAAATGCCTTCAAGTTTCCGGTCAAGTTTTATAGGTGTAGGAGATTCCGATTGTATATAAGTTTTCAGTTAGTTGGACCAGTTTTCAGTCTTTCCCTTTTTTATATATATATATGAAATAGGATAACCATGCAACCAAAAGAAATACTTATAATAAGTGCAGCACAAATTACATAGTGTTAACAGATTCTATCATATAGTAATAGATGTTAACAAACTTGGTAAACTAAAAGGGGATGGAACTTATAGTCGAGTCAGTAGTCACTTTATCAGCTTTGTCTGTTCACAAGACTAGGATTGTTCAAAAAAAATTTATTTAATTTAACTGATAAACTGTCATGTAACCGTCCGATAATCATTAATCCGATATCAATCCGTCAGTTATTTTATTGGATGGCTAACAAATTATTATATTTATAATTCGATAATCGATAAGGCGAACCGTTAAGCTTAATTATTTGCCTGATCCGCCCGATAAGCACCCCTAATTGCACAAACTAAAAAGAGAGGGAACGAATTGACTTTTACAATCACATACTTGAGCAAGTCCGATGGGCCGAAAAACCATCCGAATTGGAGAGCCCACAAAGTTTTCCCGCCAACAAGCCCAAAAAATGGCTCCGGTTTCTGTATTTCGTGTTTCGACAAGTCACCTCCGATGTTACAGTTCACTGCCAAAACTGAAAGTGCACTTATGATAGCCAAAAGTACAACACACAAATTCCCTTCTTTTTCTTTCCTTAAGATCCTCCATTACCACTCGGCACGGAGTTCTCCCTAGTATCATTCTCCGCTCTCTGTTCGGTAAGATTCCACTAATTCATCTTTGCTTTCAATACCTTTCTCCATTCTCTAGGGTTTTCTTTATTACAGTCTGCTGAATTAAATGATCATTAAGAGTAATTTATGAGTAGTAAATTACATGGGCGGATGCAGCTGTATGATGCATCCACTGTCTTCGCCTTAAATTATACTCCATAAGTTGAAATGTTGAACATTTTTAAGAAATTACTCTCTCCGTCTCAATTTATAATATACTTTTTCCTTTTTAGTCTGTCCTAAAAAAATGATGACTTTCTATAATTTGATTATATATTTTTCATTTTAACTTGAAAGTATTGTCACAAAGTAGTAGTGATGGGTGGTACTCTGCTTAAAATATTTGATCTGGCTATGCTGAAATTCATCCATTTTGTTCATACATATAGCTAATCTGTAAGTAAAACAGTGTTTATTCAGTCGCGAAATGGTTCTTTGCTTATGGAATTTTTGGTTTTTTTTTACTTGGTTGTAGAGTAACTTGCACATTGAAGTAAGAGGGTTGTAGTTGAAGCGTCAATGGGAGATGAAAAGGATGCTTTTTATGTTGTTCGTAAGGGGGACGTCATTGGGGTTTATAAGAGCTTGAGCGATCTCCAAGCACTTCTCCGATCTTGTGTAAGTTTTTTCTACCTTCTGCAGTTTTTCCAGTAGCTCAGCCCTTGAGCATGTCAAGTTTATTTGCTAAAAGCCTGTTTTCTCTAATGGTATTTATCCACGAGTGCAAATTTTCTATTTATTATTACTTCGCCTGTCCCAGAAAGAATGCACAACTATTGTTTAATTTCATTCAATTTTATTTTTTACTACGTTTTAAAACAGTTTTATAAAGTTTTTGCTGGAAAGAAATTACTCGTATGATTTATAGTATTTTTATGAAGGTTTTAAATATGTATATAATCAATTAAAACTTAGTTCACACCTAAGATAGATGTCTTGATCCCCATACTCCTAACCCCATATTGTTTACTGATGAAATATTATCTTTTTATGGTTTTTCTTTCAATATCATTTGACTTATTTTCATTCATTTCAGGTTGGTGAACCTGTCATAAGTGTTTTTAAAGGGTATCGCCTGGCTAAAGAATCCGAAGAGTATCTTGCCTCACATGGACTTAAAAATGCAATGTATTCTATTGATTCCAGCGACGTCCGAGATGATCTTTTTGGCATACTTGTCCCCTGTCCTTTTCGGGTTAGAAATAATCCTTGGCCTGTTATTTGACTACCTTTGCCAGTTCATTATGTAATGTTAGACCGTTGTATGCCCACTTGCTCACTTGAATAGTTTGAGTTGGCAGCATAGATTATCATCTCTTATCATTATAGGTTTATAACTCAAAGAATGTGTACTGCTTCTCTGATCTTGTTGTTCATGTATCAACTTCTCAGAAAGTTCATGTCCTCATTCTTATTTATGATTATTGTCTCTCATTTAACTGGTGTTGGTTGGGTCAAGTTTTGGTTAATAAGGATTGTACCAATACCAAATTTGCTATCTTATTCCACCTGTCTAGATGCCAGTTATTAGTTTTGTAATCTATCCTTTCACATTATTCTGTAGAGTGTAGACACATTTTAGGGTGCTATAGGCCTTAACTGATGCATGGTTATTTTCCATTTTTCTTTATTGAATGAATCCAGAATCGATCTGAGGTCTCAACAAAGACCCCATAATAGATTATCTTAACCTATCATTTCTGCTAGGTCAAACTGCGTGGTCTTATTGATGTTTCAACTATGTAAAAGGCAACCCATTGGTATGATTACACTATTGGCTTTCTACATCTAAAGATGTATATTCCTCGCCGCACATCTTCCTTTCTACAAGTATTATGTTAAGTTGATAAAAGTCTGGTTATAACTGTATGTTTCAGATACCCAGGCTTTGAATGAATATCAAATTAGGTTCTATTACTAATGGAGGTGTTATTTTTTCTTATTTTGTCAATTGACATCATGTAATTATATCCCACAATCTATGTTCTTTTGGTCACTAGATGATCATGATATATTTTACACAATACGGCTTTTATATATTGCACTTATATGGAGGCCTCAGATCTTTTGGTCTGTTTTAGCTATATTTGGTGTATTATGGATCATGTATTTGAAGAAAGTATCTACTTGTCCTGCAACGGCTACAATTTACATCAAATATTATGTCATGCAACTGAAATTATGAATCTACTTATTTTGTAGCAACCAGGTTCTTCCAAAGATAAACCTATTGGGAAGAATTATCAGGAAAAGAGTATGCAGGTAAGATCTTGAATTGTCTATCCAGGTTACTCTTTTGTTTATTGTTTGGGAAATACTTCATTGAACTGAACTTTCACAACCACTTTCTCTTTTTAAGACCCAGTCACCCAGCTTCTGTCATCAAAAAGGTATTTCATATTGGTCACTTTAAAACGTTTTTTGGTAGGATAGGATGGCGATAATTAGATTTACTTGTGTATTCTCTAGCTGTTGTGTTTTAGTGAAATGCATTTGAGATGGTCCACTGAGAGGTCTAGAATGAGGTTTATACCCACCAGAATGGGAAATGCTCACTTAAATTTGTCTGCAGCCTGTAGAGCATCTTGTAACAACTTTATAGTTAGCATTAGTTGCTTTTAGTCTGATAATGAGTTTTTGATATCATCAGAACTCAACTCTCATGCATGCCATACGGAAGTTCTAGTTAATCGGGACTTGGGCTAATGAAAATTTCATGATTCCTCTAATTTTTGGTATAAAAATTAAAACTTTAGACTACTATATAAGAAAAAGGCTTTACCTGTTGAAGAATTTAAGCCAGATGAGTGCAGTG